GCAACTTTAAATATAATATGCATGCACAAACTATAGTAAAATGTATTTACATCACTCGACAGAAAGGTTTTTGCAGGTTTTAATAAAATGTAAATTAATAACAGTCATAATAAGCATATTTCCAGTACGCGCCTCAGGCTTGCACAGTATCGTCAACTCACTCATCAGAATCTTCGGTAATCCTCTGCAAACTTTGGGAGTTGGTTTAACCGGCTCATTCGGTTCTTGTTGAGTCATCGTAATCCTCGGCAAACTTCGACAGTTGGTTTAACCGGCTCATTCGGTTCTTTTTGAGTTGAATGTGCTACTTCGGCTGTGCGTTCTGCGTCATCAACCCAGAACTAAAATTTGATTCAGTTCGATTTGTGAACCGGCTCAACTGGTTACTTCCTGAGAACCGGCTCAAAAGAAAGTTTCTCTCTGTTAACTTTCATTTTAGACATAACCAACTGTGTTTATATGTAAACATTGTGTGTTTTTGACAGTATTAGACGCAAAATCAATCAGACGCGAGAGACAACTTAATCTAGTAATCAGGCAGGCACAGTTTTAGTGTGCGGTGTGTGCGCGCTTCATGTGTTCGTGCTCAGAAAAAAAGGCATGCTAGAACCGCACATTAATTAAATGTTAAACCGCCAAGGCTTTAATGCACATGTAAATAATGTACTTTTGTGATTGCACATAAGTGCAGTGTCCCACGAGTGTAACTCTACCGCTGAGTTAAAGGGGTCATATGATGCAATTTCAATTTTTCCTTTCTCTTTGGGGTGTTACAAGCTCTTGGTGCATAAAGAAGATCTGTAAAGTTGCAAAGACTAAAGTCTCAAATCCAAAGAGATATTCTTTATAAAAGTTAAGTTAGCCACATCTACCTAAAACGCCTCGTTCTAACACGCCCCCACGTCTACATCACTATGTGGGAAGATTTGCATAACACCGCCCAATGTTCATGCAAAGAAAGAAGGCGTAACTTTTATTCTCGCTGTTGTATTGTTGTTTCCGCCGCCATGTCGTGAAGACGCTGTGTGCTTCGTTGTGAAAGCGAAACTACTTTGTTTGGTCTTCCAAAAGAGGACGATATCCGCTTCGTCATGCCTAGAGCTGATCCGTGCTGGTTGCTGAGGAAATACTTCAACTTCGTGCTGTGGATCGCCAGATCGGCTTCTGGGAAACATTCTCTGGGAAACGTTTCATGGATCGAGGTCAGGAAAATGCATTATTCACCTTTTACTGGCTGGCAGAGTTTAAAAAAAACTCTCCGAAACTTGTACGAACACGGAAGTAAGATTTTTAGCACAGAAATACTTCGTCATACGTACAAGTAGTTTTTTTTTTATTTGTCCATGCTTAGCATGAGAATCCGACTCTTTAACAGTGTAAACAACTCTGAATGCATGAAACAGCATTGTACACCCCCCCCAAACCATTTCCCCCCCCCCCCCCCCCCATCTGCTGAGAACAGAGACATTGACAAAATCTCTATCGATTTGCACTTTAGCAGCCCTACACTGTATTTCAAGAATTCAGTTAGTCCGTAATCTACAACAATGATTTACCTAATAAATGTTACCTGTCAAATACCCGTAGAGTTGCACCTCACAAAGAACAAGAGTCTTCTGATCTCCAGGAATATGAACAAACATGTAACGTCCCTCCATCCAACCGCAGGAGAAGTTGGTCGTTTGGCCAGATGGAATGGTAGGAATTACAGCACATCTACAGACAGAAAGATCATCTGTTATCTGTTTATATTCATGTTATCTGCAGCCACATAAATCAAAGAAGGGGAGTTCCCGTCAAGAATCACTGCACCGTTTATCCAGTGATAATTGCTGCTGTATGCATTAGTGATGGCGATCGTGTCCACTTGATATTCCTGCCATAAATCCAGTCTCCACCACTGGTTGGTCCCTGTATTGCTGTGCCACGGTCACCGTCGACGGCAAGCTTAGCAGAAAAGTTCCCATATATGGTCGACAGGGTTGTGAATCGCCAGGGTGATGTGATGTCTGGAAAATGTTTCAAGAATCAAGGTCTCTTCAATTATTTATGGAATTCTCTATAAAACTTTCTTCAACAGCGTTTCATTTAAATAGCCTTATTTATTCTGTCATCTTCTGTTCACCTTCATAATGACACTCTGGATTTGTTTTAGTCCTATGCAGTAATGGGTTTAGTGTATTAAATTATTAGAGGTGTATAATCTAAAATAGGGACTGGGGAATTATTTAAAATGCATTCTTGCAGAGCATTTGTTGTATGGACTGACATTGTTTAATTTAAAGTATGTGGCAAAAACCCTATTTTTGATGAAAACCTATGCTTTTTTTTAAGGGTTGAAAAAAAAATGTTTTCCCTAAAAAACAAATTAAATGGGACCAAATAAAATAAATGTCATTAAACTGAAAGATTCTTACCATCTGCTCCATTTGCCATTTCTTGAATTGATAAAAGCCCTGTGTAAACAACAAGATTCAAATTAACTTTAGAAATTATTTAAATGTAATGTTGATTTGAATTGCACTGTTGCATATCAGAACATCACTTGGTTTTCTAAGGTAGCACACTAGTTTTATTGAGGAACAAATATTTCAAGTCATTTTCACAGTAATTTCTAGAGAGACAGTGACAAGCAAAGTGGTTTTAAGAGACGTGGTAAACAGGCAGGGTAAAAACACTGGCAAACAGGTATATGGCGGGCAAAACACCAGAATAGTCACAGGGCTAGCGTAGGTCACCGATTAGCAGACAGAATCACAGGGGCGAGACGAGAGGGAGAAATCCAAGAAAACAGGCAAAGATCAAAAACCACAAAAACAGGCAAGGCAAAACAAGGAAAACACGGCGACTCGGAAAGGGGTACAGGCTAAACAGTACTCAGCAGAGAAATGTGGTTAGAGTGGGTGTTATATAGTGAATGAGGTAATTAGAAACAGCTGTGTGCAATGAGTGCAATCAGGGCAGTGTGCAAATTGTGCAAAGAATGATGGGAAATGTAGTCCGGGCTGCTATGCAACAGTTTGTGTAGTGCGAGAGTCAATGTAATGGAAAGGGTGACATCTGGTGGTGAATAAACGGAAGTCCATGAACCGAATTCGTGACAGGTAAAATGTAGTATAATGGATATTTCCCCTAAAAAAGTAAAATATTTGAACATCAACCTGCATGCCCCCAAACATACACACATACCGTTTTATGCAAAAGTTTGGGCACACTTCTGAGACTGCATAATAATGCAGGATTTCTCAACCTTTTGCCTACTGTGACACTCTTTTTTTTTGTATGCCAGTCATACGACCCACTAAGGCTGGAAATAAATAAATAACTGAAATGCCTCTTTAGACCTAGGCTACACCGTATATGCTTATTATAATTAATTTCACAAAAACACACAAACACTTTCAATAATTAGGCAGACTATGAGGCAAACTGATTTATTTATTTTTACTCACGTTAATGTGACATTTGAGACTGCCGCTCTGAAATGATGATATCCAGACATGGTGGAATTGGGGAAAGGGCCACTCGTAGTGTCGCACACAAACTAGCTGTTGTCAGCCTATTCCTGCTTTTTGTTTTTGTTGCAGTCACTGTTGAAAATCCCGACTTGCAAACGTAGGTAGTGCTAAATGGTAAGAGAAACTTCGTTGCACGATATGCGAGTTCTGGATATTCGTGTCTGGTTTGAATCCAGAAGGAGCTCAGGTCCGTCTTGCGAAAAGCAAGCTGCCATCAGATGCAAGTTCCACTAACTGTGTTTGCAAATTAATGGGGAGAACAACATCCACATCACTTGGGTCTACTGAAAAAGAATTAATTTCACAAAAACACACAAACACTTTCAATAATTAGGCAGACTATGAGGCAAACTGATTTATTTATTTTTACTCACGTTAATGTGACATTTGAGACTGCCGCTCTGAAATGATGATATCCAGACATGGTGGAATTGGGGAAAGGGCCACTCGTAGTGTCGCACACAAACTAGCTGTTGTCAGCCTATTCCTGCTTTTTGTTTTTGTTGCAGTCACTGTTGAAAATCCCGACTTGCAAACGTAGGTAGTGCTAAATGGTAAGAGAAACTTCGTTGCACGATATGCGAGTTCTGGATATTCGTGTCTGGTTTGAATCCAGAAGGAGCTCAGGTCCGTCTTGCGAAAAGCAAGCTGCCATCAGATGCAAGTTCCACTAACTGTGTTTGCAAATTAATGGGGAGAACAACATCCACATCACTTGGGTCTACTGAAAAAGAATCCACGCATTCCCAACTCTTTGGTCGTTGGGAAAATAATCTGAGAATTTCTGTGTTAATCTGGTCAAGTGGTCCCGGACAATTCTCTGTATGTCGGTGCTGATGTGAGGGAATTCCTGCAGAACATCAGTAAAGTTAGGACACATGTGAAAAATGTTCTCCTGCACTCTCTTCTCCCACAATACCAACTTCCGTTTGAATGCTTCAATTTTGTCAGTCATCAAGAAAACACCGTTGTTTCCCCGTGACAGCCACCTAACAACCTTTCCCCGTGACAGCCACCTAATTTCATTATGATGTAACAACTGGCGGTGGTCTGATTCCAGCTGGTCGCACAAAATTGAAAACAAGCGGGAACTGAGAGCACTGTTCTTCACTAGATTAATTTTTTTGACAGCAATGTCCATCACCTCATTTAAGGGCACTGACATTTCTTTGGCTGCGAGGCTTTCACGGTGTAAAACGCAGTGAACCCATGTCGCCTCAGGTGCTCTGTCCAAAATTTTCCTCACAACCCCACTATGTTTGCCAGTCATTGAGGCCGCGCCATCCATGCAAATGCCTACGCAATCCAGCCCATTCGGTGAGAAATAGCCATCGAGGCAACGGAAGTGATAGTAATTGCGATAGGACAGTTTAGAAACAGCATTAGAAAGTTACGGCAATAATGATTCAACATGCGACATTCAAAAATACGATTCGTTGGAGGTCCCTGTTTCAATGAGCCTTTTGTGAAGCAAAGTCACAGGTCGTCTACGAGTCATTTAGCACCAGGTTCTCCACAAACTTGCGGTGCGTCTCCAGAGAGGGGCGGCACTCATTCGGCCGCACCCCGGTCCAGTCACGAACGGCTCTCCACACCGGCCGGCCCCAGGGGTTTGACCGGCTATCCCAGGCCAATCACAGTCCCGTGGCGCTGCGGTATCATTACGTTTAGGCAGGATTCTGACTTAGAGGCATTCAGTCATAATCCCACAGATAGTAGCTTTGCACCAGTGGCTCTTCAGCAAAGCACACGCACCAAATGTCTGAACCTGCGGTTCCTCTCGTACTGAGCAGGATTACTATTGCAACGACGGTACATCAGTAGGGTAAAACTAACCTGTTTCACGACCTGAATTATTTTGGAAAAGAACACAGCATTTCAGGAGAAGAACCTGCTCCCTACTGTAAAATTTGGCAGAGGTTCCATCATACTGTGAGCAGTGTGGCAAGCAGAGCTACTGGAAACCTTGACATAGCTGAGGGACGCATGAATTCAACCAAATATCAGCAGATTCTTAAAAATAAAAGTTTCTTTTTTTTTTTTTTTAAGTTTGGTACCCAAACTTTTGCTTAAAACTGCATAAATTATTGAATGCATATGACACAGTTTTGTCCGTTTGCCACTTGATTTCTTGCTAGTGGGTTGGTCAGTGCATGATCATCAAATGTTTAAATTTCATTTGGCACTGAACATGGTGTGAAATGGATGTTAATGAGTCTTTTGCATTTCGTCCACTTTGGCGATGCACCTGGAGAATCTTGCCGGCATATACAACTCTGTCTGTCATGTTTACATAATTTACATAATCTGAACAAAGTTTCTTCTGGATACATGTTGATATTTGTCAGTTCAGAATTTGTCAATTTAGAGTTACTGTACAGAAAAAGGACATTAAGTTTTGAACAGATTTATGATTTAATTTATTTTAGATTTTAGTGTAAAATAGTTTGCAAATACAAGGAGTTTTGTTAGTGGTTGAGCTTCAGCACTCAAGAAATTTATAAAAAATCACATAGACTGTATCCCAATGGATATTTTCTGCATTATGACCTTAATGCATCTTTATTTGTAATCTGACAAGATAATAAAGCTAGGGCAGCATGATTTGTTCTGCAAACTGTCTTAACACCGACTGGAGGGGAAAAAAACAAATAACACCATAATGCAAATTAAAAAAACAAATAAATAAATCTAGCACATCTTTCTCCGAAACCCACACAGATCTAAATTAAAGAATTACAGTTTCTGAAGGCAATAATACACAGAATGTGTTCACAAGTTAACATTGAACAACACTTATAAATTAACATTAGATTAATAAATTGTGTAAAAATGCTGTTTGTAATTCAAGGCACCTAATGATTGTAATGTCTTACCTTTTTTACACTGATGTTTTTCAGTGTAGTTAAGAGATGTAAGTGACTTGAGTTAACAAAAACAGCATTTAACTGTCATTTCAACACATTATGATGGAACAATTTGTAATTGTGAAAGGTCTCAAAACACACACACACACATCCAAGGCAATCTACAGATACCTATAACTCTAAGCAGAAAAAAACTTAAACCTTGTTTTATAAAGAATGTTTTTAATAATTACTGTCCATTAAATACAAAAACAAGCTATGTAATGATGGTGATATCTATACATACAAATATCTTGTTCAAAATCCATTTGACGAATGGACATGATGTTTCTGAAATTGTTGTAATAATAATAATATTAATAACAATAATAATAATAATAATAATACACACAATGCAATACAAACAACAAAATGTAAGAATTATTTCACGTTTTGTGCACCACAGAAGAAAAATAAAAGGTCTTCAGTCTTGTACTTATATCAGCCTGGTTAACGTTGACTGATTCACTGTAAATAACCTGAATATACACTTCATATATTTTAAGTCAAAAGCCTAGAACTTCTGTGCGGTTACAAATATATAATATTTGAAGAATCAAGCTATAAACCTATACACTTTGAATGTGTCCTCCTATGCTTTCATATTCACTCTCTCTCTTGCTCCATTTACTTTTACTTTCACAGATACTCCACGTTGGTCAGTTTCATTGCTGATAACATCATCACCGTAGCTCTACCTAGTCAATCCTAACCACAATGTAAAAATGTTACAATGTTCTTGTAGGTACATGAGGCAGCCATCAATATTGGCACCAATATTCACGTTTACCTCTACAACCACTACAGCTGCCATTTTAGAACACTAATAATGTCAACCGTCTGATCATTAGCATGTTTAATCAGGTTTGTAAATGCTCTTGTTACTAATGTAACCTCAGTTCCCTGAGATAATGGGAAGAAGCGTTGCATGAAATGCTATTGGGAAACTCCTGTTTACTCTAAATACTAAAGCCTGATTTGTTCACATTCATGTAGCTGCATAAATAAATGGCATTTCAGCCCACCAAATCCGACTGAGTAAAGTCGGTGCGGAATGCCATTGCATCAGAATCTTTTGACTGATAGCAAAAGTGTATGCAACGCTCATACCCGTTATCTTAGGGAACCAAGGTTATGTTAGTAACTGGAACTTTCCCTTTCTAAAATGGTCTCTCACGTTGCATGAAATACTATGGGGAATGTATCCAATAGTGCTGTGCTATAAGCAAGTGCAGAAAAAAGCTGTAATGCGAGCCCAGTCCTGGAGCGCCCGTAATGAGGGCTCCTATAAGCATGAGATAATAATGAGGCCCAGGTCCTGAAGCCGGGCTCTACATAACTAAGACCTTCTCCACTTGTATAGGGGATCAGGGAGAATAGGTGGACAAGATCCATGCCTGAAGGGCAGGGGCATCCAGGTTATACAACCTAATGAAGGCAAACAGCGAAGACCAGCCGACTGCTGCACATATATCAGCAAAAATAGTCTCGGCTTCATAACTGGCGGGCTGCCAGGGTGACCTCCAAAGCATACAGAGTAAATTAGGACCCTACTCATCGGAAGAGCTAGAAGGGTGATTACTTCTTTTGAGGATGCTAAAGCCAAAAGGAGGGCGGTCTTAAATGACAGGGGCCGTAAGTTGGTCAACTGGAACGGGAACCTCGAAAAGCCCTGAGGATCATGAATTAGTCCCAGGTCAGTACAGAATGAGGACAAGACAGATTTAATTTCCCCTCAGGAATTTAACAGCTTGGTATTTTTTTCAGACTGACTGTCCAGCCACAAGAACATGATCCGCCGCTATGGCTGCCACATATATTTTGAGCATGGAAGGGGTGTGCACCTTATCCAGCAGCTCTTGCAGAATGGTTAGAATGGATGACACATAACATCAGACACCAGTCAGAAAACACAAACCACTTAAGGGCATAGAGACATCTCATAGGCTGGATACTAGCCTCCAAAATGGTGTTAGTTACCCTCGTGGAGAGCTGTAATGACTCCCGTTGAGGGGCCAAACATGAAGTCTCCACAGCTTGGGCCAGGGATGCCAGATCATGCCTCTTGCTTGGGAGAGGAGGTCCTTCCTTAGCAGCATTGGCCAAAGGGCTGCCGACAGCAACCAAATTAACTTGAAAACCCATGTCTGGTTCCTCAAGAGTGGGTCCACCAGGAGGACTGAGCATCCGACTTCCCTGACGACCTGAGGGAGCAGGGCAATCGGAGGGAAGGCATATAGGAAGCGCTGGGCCAATCGTAGGCCAGAGCATCTTGATCCTTTGAGAAATATGATGGGCAATGAGAGTTGTCTTCTGAGGCGAAGTGGTCCACCTCTGCACTCTCAAAGACCGACCAAATCGTCTGCACCACTTGGGGGTGTAGTCTCCATTCTCCTGGTGATACATTGCCTTGGGACAATATGTCCACTCCTAGGTTCTTGACATCCTGTGGAGGGAGCGTGACCTGAGACTGCCTTGGTGATTTATAAATGACACCACTGTCATGTTGTCTGAAGGGATCAGGACATGATGCCCCTTCAAGGCTGGTATCATTCGTCTAAGCAGCTGCAGGAGGGCTCTCCCGGAGCCGACCATTCTAAGCTGAATTCCTCCACAGCCTTGGTTAGGATGCAAATCAGTTCGCTATCCATGCCGGCCCATCTTGATTCATTGTGGGGAAGTGTGCAAGGATCAGCACGCGGGACCTGTGCTGGTGTGAGATCACTGGAGCCCAGTTGCTCAGGCATGTGATTCTGCAGTTTCTTCCTCCGTGGCTCCTGGGAAGGGAGAAAGGAGAGAGCGGGAGGCGTGGGGCTGCCTTAACCCTTTGGGGTCGACTAATGCGGATACGCGTTTTGTGGCATCTTCTCCTAATAAGACCGAAAATAACTTAAATTACACTTTCAGTTTTGATCTTACAGATAAGAGCAATACATCAATCGAATCTGTAAATGGTCTACTTTTATTTGTATACACACATAATAACAACAAAACTCTGTGCATTTATAAAATAAAGAAAACAAACATGGTGCACTGTCTGCCGCCTTGGTCTGCGTGATCTTTATTTAGAAACGCGTCATTAAAATGAACTGTAACTCAGCAAATACTCAACAAAGAGACACGAGAGATATATCTATAGAAAGCTTGACGTCTACTTTTAAACTAAGCAAGTCTTATCGAAAGCAAATATTCTGTGATAAAGTAATCCATATGAAACCAACGCGATGTCCAGTCTTTCACGTTTCCCTTCATTATCTCTAATGAGACCACTCCCACGCGCTATAGATATTGTAATCATCCACGTGAAGCACGTGGCGGGTAAACGCCCACATCACAGCAAACAAAGCAGCAAGACCTCAAGTTTTTTTTAATTTTACTGTTCGCGTCGCGCTGAGACGAATAAGACAGAATTCACCTCAAGAAGCTTTGGATTACCTCAGGAAAAAACAATGCAGCAGCTTGATCCAGCAGTGATCATAAACATGAGTAAGTCTTTTTTTTATTAACCTACTTGTTTTAGTTTTCACATAACTTGTACACATTTTACTAGTTAGACTTTCTCCAAACTATAATTCCTGACTAAATGTATAATCAAGTGAAACATTATGAAGTTTCATTCACAGCATCTAAATGTCACGATGCCAGGATGTTTTTTTATGTTCCATAACAGACAGAAATACGATATAAAAGTAATATGAGTTATAACGTTACTAGCCTAATGTCAGTAAGTTCAAGTTCAAGTTCAAGTTGAGCTTTATTGTCATTCTGCTACATGTGCGGACATACAGTGGAACGAAATGTCATGCCTCACAGGACCACGGTGCTACATAAATACAGGCATACAACAATGAAGTAAAAGAGTAAAACCTATACACAACTAGCCTACTGACTGATTTTGACTATAAATATACTATATTTATAAATGCTTACCTATACATAAATAAAAAAAATTAAAAATACAAACTATACGAATGCTTCACATAAACATTGTACCTATACACAACTAACCTACTGACAGATTTTGACTATGAATATACTATATATAAATGTTTACCTATACATAAATTAAAAAATACAGACTATACGGATGCTTCACATAATACTGTACATGTGCAAAGAGAAACATCGTAAGTCAAGCAGCTTGCTGGGGAACAGTGCAAGATGATTTGTAGTGCATGAGCATGTAAACACACATTACTGAGTCTTTTGTGGGATTATGTACACAAAGCAGTGTGTATGAAAAGTGTCTAGTGCGCATAGAGGAGAGTGTGTTTCTACAGGTGGTTTGTACAGGCCCTGTAGCATACTTCGAATTGTTTCAGAAATGTTTCAGACAGTTTTTTTGTGATGTGGTAAGGTTGGGGGGGAGGGTGTAGGAGTTGAGATGGTCCATGTTTCAGGAGGTAGGGGGTTTGTATGGGGTTTCAGAGGAGGGCGGGGTGATTTGAGTTCAGGGCTCTCACAGCCTGGGGGCAGTACATGGCCAGGTATGTCATCAGGACCCGCAGCCTTGCGTGGGTTAATCCTAGATAGGGTCTTCTTTACGTCAGCTGGAGACAGAGAGAGAGCACCTGGTCGTTGAGAGGTATGGGCAGTTTTTGTGCAGGTGTGTCATTCTGCATTTCAAACTGTGAATAAAAGTGGTTGAGTGTATCCGGGAGGGATGTGTCATTATCACAGGCCTGTGGCGGGGGCTTGTGGTCAGTGATGGTCTTCAGGTTTTTTTGCAAAATACCAGATAATGTCAAATCGCACATCGTTAAAACAACAGTTACGATATTATCGCTAAGACCTGCACCACTGTCTTTTTGGCTAATTTGTGCAAAATCTCTTGCTAAACTGTCAAAGCTTCATTTTAACCACCAATGCAACGATGCAAGTTACCTTACTTCTGCATGCTTGCGAAGGGTTGATGTTGAGATTTTATTAAGGGCCCGATACTGAGCTCCTGTACTCGTACTCGTTAAAATGCCCCGATATCAAAGTATTAATGCCTGTATAGCTGATTTGCGCCAGCTGGTAAGCAAATCACGCTGAGTTGATTGCGCGCGCGGCGGCACAGATACGCCAGCTTGTCGAGTGAATATCCCTTTCTCATAGACATCACTGGAAAGTTTGTAGTTCGGTCAGATATGTCAAAAAGATGTAAGAAAAACAATGTACAAGTTACTTAATGGTAGGGAGGGAGAGAGAGAGAGAGTGCGCACTTCTGTTGTGTGATCTTTATTGATGTTCGCTCACTTAGCACGCATCATTTGGATTAAAACTAAATCGTAAATATAAGACAATTTATAGGGCATTCACTATAAACGTCATTTATTTTCACCCTTAAGCATACACGACTTTCTGGCGAAAGTGAAACTAACAGCCTGTGTGAAATGTGCTAGGCTGTACTGTACTTGTCCCTCTCATTCTGCACCAGTACAAATATGTGCATGCGTTGCGCGTGTTTTGCTTGCTTCATGAGTGTTTCTGCATTATATGAGTGGCTTTGGAAAATAAATCGCTGCATATTTCAGATGAATAAAAATGCGAGTTCCCTGCATTTTTACAGCAAAGCGCGTGATTGCAGTACTGAGCCGCTGCAAAGGAGCAGCTCTAATGCTATTAAATTAAGATGATGTACCATAGAGAGAGAAAAAAAGAACAGTGAAAGTAACAACAACTTGTAAAATAAATTTTAATGGGCATAATTTACAGTCAAACCAAAAATTATTCAGAGACCAGATATAATTTTTTATAGTTTTTTTTACTAGTGGGTGCAGGACACTATAGTTAATTTATGCAAAGTGAGGATAGCAAAATAAACTAAACTGTGATATATTATACCCAAAAATTCTTCATACGGTGGACTACCGGTAAAAATTATACAAATTTGGGACCAAAAATTATTCAGACCGAGTCTGGGAAAAAATTGAAGTTCAGGTTTGCATGAAGCTGGGTGACAGCATGCCCAGGAGACTACAGACTGTTATTAAGGCTAAGGGTCACCCGACAAAGTATTGATAGTTGTGTAAATATTGACAACTGTATGAATACTTTTTGGTTGATTGTAATCCATTACATACCTTTCTATCAAAATTATCTGACATGATCAAGCTGAATTTGTTCTGACACAGTTTAACTCTGAGTTATTGTCATATTTTATTACCATTTTCTAAACTATAGCGAATAAACTGTGATAATGTGAGAACTGTTGAAGGTTTCTGAATAAATTTTGGTTTGACTGTATCTATTTGATAAATTAAGTTAACCAACTAACATTATACATACTCTTTTGGTTTCTGTACCCAAAATTTAAAAAATTTACAAATGCAATGAAAATACTTGTATCGGTACTCGGTATCGGCAAGTACCATAAATAAAAGTATCGGTATCGGGCGAGTACTGGAAAAAGTGGTATCGGTGCATCCCTAGATTTTATAAACTGTTAGTTTGGTCTCCCTAGGCAAACACAGCTTACACTGCATAACAGAGCATAAATATGGCCAGGGGTTCACTTCCTTCGAGTTCAACTTTAGCAGAATACGACAGGGTTTGTTTTCAGTTGGGTCTGCACCATAACGCCTGTCTCGTCCTTCTGCATCTTTCTTGTGATTTTAGCGCCAGTTTGCTCTCCTGCCCATTATTTACTGCAGTAGTTTCCAGGGAGCAATTTTTTATTTATTTTTTTAACTCCGTAATTAATGTGTTTTAACATGTAGCGAAGTACAATACTTCAAACTAAATATACTTAAGTAAAAGTAAAATTACAGATTTTAAAAATGACTTTAAAAAATAGAAGTACACAAAAAAGCCACTCAATTACAATAACGCGAGTAAATGTAATCCGTGACTTTCCACCTCTGCGTAACATCACTAGTTAATGTTATGGGAAATGTAAATGTCGGCCTTTAAAGTGTAAACACTTTATTGTTTTCGGATTTTTTAAAGGTCTATCAAGTTAAGTCTGTGCATTGCGTGTGCTAGTCACACATTTAATGCTAATGATGGAGACCATGCGGTCTGAGAAACAGTGTGATGATGGAGCAAATTCGTAACTATAATGTATGTTTTTGATAACTAATGAAACACGAGTTATAAGTTGTTTAAATACACTGGAGACAAGTTAAAAATATTTATGCTGTTACACAGAATGCGTTATATGCATGTTATATTACAATTGTATGCTGAATTTGTGGAAACAGACAGCAATGAAAAGCTGTTATTTAGGTAATTCTCTTATTTATTATTTGTCATCTCTATTGATGTCTGATGCTCTATCACTTAAAGTTCATTTACATATAACACATGCAAAAATACTTGAACTTCTGCTTACTCCTCTTGTGGAGAGGAAATAGAGGTAGGTGAAGTTGAGAAACATGCTTTGTACATCCTGCAGTTATCCCTATACCACTAATGTCCTGCAATTAAAAAAAAAAACTTTAACATTCAAATTTTAAACTGGAAAAAGAGCTTGCTCTTGGCTCACTGTAACAATCATTGTTGTTATAATGATTGTTACAGTGAGGGGGCCTGTCTGGGTCGGGAGTTTTGTGACGTTGGAAGGGCGTGTTTGGTTTGGATTGGTGGCCATGTTGAGAGGGCCCATCTGATTCGGGTTTGTGGTTATATTGGGAGGGTGTGTTTAATAATAATATAATAATTGCTCTCTCTCTCTCTCTCTCAAAGACACTGTTGGTCTCACTCTCAATCTTTTTTTTTTTTGCATTTATGTTTCTGTGTATAACAAGATTTTCTTGAATGTGCCACCTGTTGGAAAACAGTTGTAAATAACAGTTAGATATGATCACATCCTTTGAACAGGTTGTTCTAAAATAGTCGTCACTTTCCTTCAATCGGGCAAAGCGAGAACTTGGACAGTGTTTGTCTTAAATGCACGTTGGACAAAAAGCATCTGCCAAATGCCAAAATGTAATTATATAGGCTATGCTATGTTATTAAGGATGACAAATATTGATTATTATGTTTATAAAGTTCCATGGTTATATGATGTTTTATGGGTGTTATTTAAATGTTTTGACATTTTCAGGGGCTTTTCAGTGTTTGTATTATATGTTGGTAGTGTTATTTTACATGTGGGTTAGAATGTTACTATATTCAAATTATGTAAAAAAAAATATATATATATGACTGTGAGTGAACCATTGTTTACAATAGAGAGGGCTTGTTTGTTTACATCCATAACTTCATGATGCTCATGACGGTTAGGCAACAGTCTTACTCATGTGCTTCTGGAATTAATACATCTGGCAAAGTTATCTGCAAGTAGCTTTACTATTATATTATGGCAAGAGAGTGAGATGAGATATATTTTTGTATACACTGGAGTCTAAAATTCTCATAATCTTGGTTTTTAAATTTAAACCTGTAAATAAATGTTTAAGATTTTTAAAAGTAGGCTAAATAAACACACACACACACACACACACACACACATAATGGCAGCTTTCCAAACAATTTAGGATTTATTTAGCAGCAAAGAATGACAAGCTGTTGGATTAAAGTTCTTAATGACTATCTCTCTCATTCAAACAATTTAAAGACTAACGTTTTTTCCAATACAGTACCTTGTACAGACAGTACAGTAAATATTATGCCAATTAGTGATTAGGATTCACTTCAGTAGGTTCAGTTAATTTTGTTTTAATATCTAATGGTTTATGTAAGCTTAAACATGACAGCAGAAGTGTTTAAAGAGGCTTTGCATTGTAAATAAGTAATTATGAAGAAATGTTCATCAATTTGAACTTTCCAGGATATCACGGTACTTTAATGCAACCTGCAAAAAAAAAAAAATGCTTATTACACATTGTTTTTATAACAATTAACATTCATCCATATTTTGTCATATAGTTATTGTACAGAACACAGTTGTGAAAACACTCTTCGTTCACCTTCTGAATCACCCATTCAGGGGTTTGAAACCAACTCAGTGTCACGTTTGTGAATCCTCTGTCAGCCAGAGCAGATGCCAACTGACAATAACATAATAATACTAAAGCAATTAGATCAGAATATGACAGTACACTGAAATATCTCTCTCTTTCTGTCTCTTGTGTTTCAAAGGATTATGGTAAATGACTTAATCACGCCCAAACATTTAATTACATTGCAGATATTTATTTATTTTTCAATGAAAATTAATGGGGTCCAGTATTGTTCAAAATATCTTTAAAGAAAAAAAAAATATCTTGAGACCCCCTGCATGTAATTTGTTTGAAGTATTTTTTTAGACATGGTAATGCAACTGATGAAATACATGTTCTTGGAGACAGAACATGTTATCACCCCGCCATAAGTAGGTGCTGTAGACTAGTGCTGGGCGGCATACCGGTTCATACCGAATACTGGTGTTTATTTTTGTTATGATATGGATTTTTAATATACCGCAATGTATGTCGCTTAAACAACGTTTGGAACATGGCGCAACAGTTTGAGAGGGGTCCCTTTTCACTGTTGCACTGTGGTGAGAGCACAGATGTGTGTTTTACTAAGCATGATGGTGAAGATGGTCAACCCTCTACAATGTGAGTAAATAACTACATTTACTCAAATGGCAATGTCATTGGCTGGCGCTCACCTATTATCATTCCGAACGCAGACAACGTGATTAATATTCATGAACCCAGCAACTCATTAATCCTTAGTCCATTTTATATTGTTATTAGTAGTTGAATGCGTAGTGTTATTGTTATCAGTATTATTTTTTTGTTTGTTTTTTTCCTTTTTTTTTTTATAGAGACACTAAGTGACAATTGTATTCTGTATCTCTCACCTGTATCAGAATGTTTTCTCTCATTGTCTGGTCGGTCAAATCAGCTCTGGAGTTAAACAGCATTTTTACAATTGATCTTTTTAAAACAGGACCTACACATCAAACATTAACCATTATTTGAGATTGCATTCATTAAAAGTATTAGTGCTCATTTCCGTGACTAGCAATATGATATTATTGTTAGTTGATTTTATAAAAAAGTACTACAGATACCTTTTCCAAAAACCTCCACCTCACAGAGAGTGAGTATCTTCATGTTTCCAGGAATGATCAGATTCACGTAACGTCCCTCCATTCCACCGCATGAGTAGCTGTAGGACTCACCTGCTGGAATAGCAGGAATAACAGCACATCTACAGACAGAGAGAGAAACAGATGGAGATAAAGATAGTGTTGTATCTCCACATACACATTTGCATTTGATGTCTCATGTTCCTTCAGCCTCAAGTTTCTCACATGGGATTGTTGTTGCCGTTGTTCTCCAAAGAGTTTCCGATGCGAATCTCCGCTCCGTTTATTTGTTCGGTACAGCAGTCATTTCTGTTGGTGACCACCACTCTACTAACTCTATAAATATGAGGCAGAGCCACTCTCCACCATGGGTTAGTCTGATTAAGGGTTGAGGAACATCCCATATACAACTGCTGGAGACCTCGATTACCATCAATAGCCTTTTCAGCAAACCAGTTCCCAGATGTTGATGACTGTATAACGGCTCCTCTTGATGCCCAGTTTCCTTGAAAATTGGTAAAGAAATATGTAATATGTAACCCGGTCAAAATTTGCTTAAAAGTAGAGTTAAAATTGTTTTAGTTGTATCTAATAATTAGATTATTTTCAGTAATTGGGATTAAACTGCATATCATTACTGTCCTGTAGATGGCAGTAGTGGTGCTGCAGAGAGGCGAAACCAATATAGTTTTCAGTACCGAGAAGAAGAAAAAAATGTATGGAAGAAAAATAATGCCATATGTCTTTGAAACAAAAAAGCATGTTGAATAACACTAACTGAAAAAAATATGCATTGCATTAACAGTGCTTGCCTTTTAATGCCTTGTATTTTCAGGGCTTGCCTTTTTAGGTCCTGAAATTTAACATAGTTGTGTATTTAAGCTGTGAATATTTCAATTCAAAATATTTCACACACAATATTCACCTTCCAGAATTCACTTCCTGTTTAAAAATACGATGTATAATATTCGACAGGCAAATTTCGGTCCATTTTATTTCACTTTCCAAATTCGCTTCCACAAATTCAGTGGTTAAAATTCGACAGAAAATTTGCCATTGCACATCCGGGAGCTGCAGGAATAGCAATAGAGCACCGATGCATGATCTCCAGCTGCTGTCAGTTGCTCACCAGCAGGTGGCGCAAGTGGCTGTTGATCCACCAAAGCAACAGGTAGATTAAGTCTTTCATTCACAAAAACTGATCTGCAGAAATGCAGCAAGCGCTAAGTAGAAGTTTTGATTATCGGGACCAGTATGAACATGTGGAAAAGCTGATTGTGTGTATGTTTAATTCAACATATTCGCTGTTTCCCATATCCTACATGTAAGCAGCTTTCTCTGCCACAAAGGAGATCATAATGCTGTTTTACTTGACGCTGAAGTACAGAACTAACGTTACATCTGAGGAAGACATATATTGCTTTCGGCTGCTTAGTTTCCGAAGCTTTGTATCATGGCTTGTGTGATGCTGTGCTGTAATACTGTGGTTCCCCTCACACAGTATGCATCACACCCCAGAATTCCCCAACGACGCATAACGAGTGATAATACCTCAGATTGCAGAATTCGTTTTATTGATGATGATGATGATGCGAACTATATCAACAGTTAAGCAGATGTAGAATATGAACGAACGCACAAGGTTTCACGTTATTTCCCTCATAAATCTGTTAAAGAAAATGCATTACGCGACAACGCAATGACAGCTATTAAAAGACCAAACTCAGATCTTACTGATCTGTAAACAGATGAAACTATAAACTGAAACTATAAACAGGCAGAGGAGGATATGAATGCAAGATACGGAATGCACAAAACTGAAGAAGAAAACACTTAACGTGGTTTATTGCCTCAAGACAGTGATAATAAATTATTAAATTTGGCACCTAATTAATAATATATATTACTGTATATTGTGTACATTTAAGCAGATGAGCCCAGAATATGAGCCCACAACCCACAAATTTTCACCAAACCAGTTCCCTTTCATTGGGACTTTGAACTGCGTCCTCTAGGGGTCGCTATGGGGAAACGCCTGGTCGTGACCCGTGTCTGAAGCATACATTGAAAAAACACCAACTCGTTGGCCGGCGACAGCCATGACGTCACTACCGGTGCGACTCAATGTTTCTGTCCCTTTCTAGGGTAGGTCCTCGGTGAGCACCCCCTCTGCTGGATTCAGAAACCGGGTGCTCGACTTGCAGTGTTTATCTCACTCGTCGATATATGTCCAGACGGTACGATAAGCCGGGTTTTGGCTTCATACTTCCTGGATCATGCGGCCAGATCACAGGCTTCTGCGGGAGCCTTCTTGATCATCAGGCCCTGCAACGGCACTGCAAAAATTTCCTGTAATTTAATAAAAAAATTTCAGTTTTAAATTGTTTAACAAACAAATAAAGTGCTTTACATTCCCCCTAGGTAATCCCCTGACGTTTAAAGACAATATAGATAAAGACATATACAGTCAACTTGAAAAAAAAAATGAACGAAATGTCACCATGCAAAAATGTATCAATTAAAGGCCCGAACGCAGCACCATATTGTTAGTAAAGGCAAGTAGAGTCAAAAAAAATAAATAAATCCTGAGCAAAGGAGTCTTCTTAGCTGTAGCCTATGCATGGCATGAAGAAACCAAATTGACTGCAAATGGTCTAGAATTGAAGTCATTTAATTTCCGTCACCTTTAACATCCCGCTGGTCATCCTCAATCTGTTGGAGATGAAGTTCAACGCCCCTGATGAAGGCCCGCGCCCCAACGAAGTAGGCTAATTTTCTCACACTACGTGCCTTTTGAATTGCAGGCCAAAACTTGGCTCTAATTTGTTTAACAGCTTGAGGGAGATCTTCAGCAAACCTTAGGCCGTTTTCACGTAGGAATGGGTTGTTCGCTGCAGCCCAAATAGCATCCCGCTGTGTTCTCGACAGAAAGCGAAGTATGATCCCTCTTGGTCTCACGACTCCTGGCTTCCTCTTTCCCAGACGTTGTACTATGTCAATCATCTCCGTCAGCTTGCTCTGTTCTTGAGGCAGAATGGTTTGGCAGATCTTGATGGTCTCCGTTTTAACATCTTCTACTGACTCTGGTAACCCTTGTAATTTCAAGTTCCACCTTCTTGTGTAATTTTCCAGCTCTGTTACTCTATCTTTAAGCTGAGCAACCACCTCCTCTTATTTCTTCCAACATTTCTTAACTTTCTCAATCTGTTTCTTCGCATCCTTTATTTCTTTGCATGCAAAATCATTTGTCAGCCCTCTATTTTCATGTAGTTTTGATCTACCATATTTTCGATGGCATCTGATCTCGTGTTGATCAGTTTCAAGAGGGTATCAACAATGTGCGAATTGGATGGGGAAACTGCACATTCATCTTTAAGGAGAACTTTTTTGGATGCAGTAGGCTTGCATGGTGTCGCTGGATATCTTTTTTTTTGTCGCTGGATATCACCCCAAAAATGACATTTTCCAGCTGTTATAATAACTTGTTTGTTGGGTATAATAGGTGCCCTTTAATTATAGTTTTGTTGTAGTGTGAAGTGTGCAGTCCTTACAAATATAATATGGAATATGACTTAGGATGCTCCTACTCAGAAGTGCATCATGTGAAGTGTTTAAAAATATAGTTGTAACGAACCCTGATGTGGTGTGTTTATTGTTTGTGGGTTTTGAATTATTTCATTATTTGTATTGTATGTTTGTGTATATGATTTGATTCGTTAAATGTAATAGGTTATGGTTAAGGACTTTAATTTTGACATATATATGACGTGCATACCTTATTGGGTTAGACGCTGAGAAAGCATGTTAAGCAAGGAACGCTAAACAAGGCACGGGTACACAGTCGATTCATGGACTTTATGGTTCATAAGTTTAGCTCCTGGTTTAAGGGAGAACAAGGTAACAATTATCTTTGTTTTATGTATGTGATTTTGCTATTAGATTAATGCTTATTTTGTTGGTTTGTTTGTTTGATTTGTTTCTCTTGTGCTTCAACTTTCAATATTTATTTTATTTTTTTAATTTTTTCTAGCTCTTACGGTGGTTCATTGTACGTTGTTGTGTGATGGCTCTACGGAATGTGAACAATAAACAAACTGTGAATCATCAGTGAAAGAGTTGGCCGTTTATTTACCAGGACGCTACAGTAAGAGCTTGATTCATCGATCCGGTGATCCTTGTCGATGTGACGAGCTGCTTCAGGGGATGGTTCGCTTGGTAAAGAAGGTACTTCCTTTTGACTTTGATGATGATGTTGACCGCGTTGGGAGCAGTGCGCTCGTCATGGTTTGAAGATCGATCAAGTTTTGATTAAAGGACTCAGCTCAACGTGTGGCAAGCAAACGGATCAGATGGACTGGATAAGAAAGGGGAAAGTGCCAGTTTGTTTGAATGGACCGCAGTGAGTACGATGAATTGAACTGTGTTAATCGGATGAATTCTGAAAGGACGAATTTACTTTGTTGCCTTTACGTAATGAACACTGTTGCGTATGTTCTCTTTACTAATGAACTGAATATTAATCAATTTCACATTTAAGAGTTGACATTTTAATGAGTAAGAAAAGAGGTGTTGCATTTACATCCCGTTCTTGATTATCAGATTGACTGCCTATTAGTTGTGAATATTGCTGTTATTTTCTTTGAAGTCTAAATGCAAAGAGAAAATGTCGAAGCCAGATGCAGGTGCAAACGATTTGAATAAGCAAAGTGATGATTGTGTTGAAACTCAGAGTGAAAGTATACGTCGCTCAAAACGCGCTCCTGTTCTTACCGAAAAAATGCAAGCATACCAACAAGAGGAGTCACAAAAAAAAGAGAAAAGGATTACTCATTTGTATGATAAGTGGAAAATTGAGGCCCGTAGAGCTCGCGAACGTCTTAAAACTGATATTGCAGTGGCACAGTTGGCTATGGTAATTGATGATTTGGAGGCAGCAAGGAATAATATTCTGAGTGTGTATGATGAATTTAGGCAGCGTGTACCACCCACTATGGAAATGAGACGAAAAATTGATGCATGTGAAGCGGTCACAGCTGATATTATTAAAATCATTCATGAGAGGATATCAGGGGTGGATGGAGATTTTGACGCTGAAAAAGAAAAAGGGCGTCTTCGAACATTGCTAGATCATAAATATGCATACTCGATTTTTGGGTCGACTGTTTCACGTATTAGTCAAGGGGCTAGTAGTCATTCCAGCCAATGCTCTGTTGTTTCAAGTCTAGCTGCCAAACGAGTAGATGCTGCTGCAGATTTAGCGGCTAAGCAAGCTGTTTATGATTCTTTATTAGAAGAAGAAACACATAAGGAAAGGATACAGCAGTTGGAAGAGCAGCACAGAAGAGTTATTGAGGCTGAAGTAAAAGATTTGCAGCGAATACAAGCACAAAAGGACGTGAGAGCTGCGCAAGCTAAATTAGAGGTCTATGACAAAGAGATTGTTAAAGAAACCACGTGCTCCTCTTCAGATTGTGGCAAGATCAAAGAGGAGCAAGACATTCCTCAGGTAAATCTTAAAAGGAAGCAAGATGTGTCTCAGAATTTGCCTAAAGTGGATTTAAATATTAAAGCTTCTCAAACAGTATCAGGAATGCCCATTTCAGCTTCAGTCTTTCAAGACAGTCTAGCTATGAGTCGGTTGCCAGTACCGGAACCTTCAGTTTTTACAGGAGATCCTATTCGATTTATTGAGTGGAAATTCTCATTTATTGCACTTATTGAAGGAAAATGCATCTCTTCTGCCGAAAAGCTGTTCTATCTTAAGAGGTATGTGAGCGGGCCTGTAAGTAAAGCTTTGGAGGGTATTTTCTTTAGAACCGATGATGAAGCTTATCATGATGCCTGGGAGAAATTGAATTGTCGTTATGGTCAGCCATTTGCCATTCAAAGGGCTTTTAGAGAGAAATTGGCTAATTGGCCTAAAGTTCACTCAAAGGATGCAATAGGTCTTCCAAACTTTTCTGACTTTCTCAGTGCATGTGAAAATGCCATCCCTCATGTCAGAGGTCTTCAAATTCTGAACGATTATCAAGAAAACCAAAAACTTGTTCAGAAACTACCTGACTGGGCAGCCAGTCGATGGAATCGACAAGTCACACAAACTCTAAGTCAAAATCAAGAATTCCCAGACTTTAATGATTTCTGTGTATTTGTGTCAGCAGAGGCAGATACTGCTTGTAATCCGGTAACTTCTTTTCAAGCTCTTCACGCTTTGAGTCCCGTTATTGACAAACTCACTTTGAAGGAGACCAAAAGGAATAAGGCTCAAACTTTTAACACTCAAACGAAATGTGAAGGTCAGAAATCAATGAAACCAGTGAATAGAGCTCCCTGTTTGTTGTGTCAGCAAGGTGATCATCAGCTTAATAACTGTTCTGACTTCTGTAGTAAATCATTGGAGGAATGCCGACGATTCATTCAAGAGCGAAAACTTTGTTATGGATGCTTAAAATCAGGACATATTGCAAGTGAATGTCGTTATCGCCTTGTATGTGATATTTGTAAAGGAAAGCATCCTTCATGTCTGCATGACAGCAACTTTATAAGAAGAATGAAGTCAAAATCTGTAGCAGAGTCTTTCCAAAGTATTCTTAATAGCAGCACAAATGCAGTAACTCTGAGTGTGGCTGGAGAAGGGCAGACTGCAAATACTTCAATGATTTTGCCTGTATGGATATCAACAAAGCACAATCCTAACTATGAAAGACTTGTGTATGCTCTGTTGGACTCTCAAAGCGATACCACCTTTGTTGATCAAGGAGTAAGTAATGCCCTTAAGGCACAATCAAGTCCAGTAAAACTGAAATTAACTACTATGCTTGGTAAAGATACAATTGTGGAAAGTGAGAGAGTGTCAGGGTTGCAAGTGCGAGCATATGAATCGGGTAGTTTTATTGACCTTCCTCCTGCTTATACCAGAGATTACATACCTGTGAATCGTGATCATATTCCTACCTGTGAGATCGCGAAGAAATGGAGTCATCTGTTGAGTATTGTGGATAAGGTACCGTCATTAAAGGACTGTGAAATTGGTCTGCTAATAGGCTACAATTGCCCTAGGTCAATGGCTCCTCGAAAGGTAATTGTTGGAAAAGATGATGAGCCCTTTGCTGTGCAAACTGATTTGGGGTGGAGCATTGTAGGATGTTCATCTCCACGTTTTGATTTGCCTAAAGAAAGCAGTCTATGTCATCGCATTGCGGCCAAGGAACTTCCTCCTGTCACTCCATCAGACGTAATTCGTGTTCTTGAGAGGGACTTCAAGGACATTAATGAAGAAGAGAGAACAAAGGTATCTCAAGATGACATTCTTTTTCTCAATAAATTGAAGGAAAGCATTCATAAAAATATGCATGGGCATTATGAGATGCCATTACCTTTTAAGAAAAGACCTATTCTACAGAGTAACAAGCAATTGGCTATGGTTAGGCTTGACCATCTCAAGAGAAGGATGTCAAAAGACGAACAGTATAAGGAGCAGTATAAGGAATTTATGAGTGAAATCATTCAAAGAGGGGATGCAGAGGAAGTAAATGACTGCGGCAAAAAAGGAGAAACATGGTATTTGCCTCACCACGGTGTCTTCCATCCAAAAAAGCCAAACAAGTTGCGAGTGGTATTCGATTGTTCAGCAAGGTATAACGGTTATTCATTGAACGATTACTTGCTTCAAGGTCCTGACATGATAAATAATTTGAATGGCATTCTGATCAGATTTCGGCAACATCCCATCGCTCTTATGTGTGATGTGGAAAAAATGTAAAACAGAGTTTATATTGAGGAATTTTTATGTGGATGATGGAGTAACTAGTTTGGAAGATACCGAGAAGGCAATTAAGGCTGCTGATGAAGCAAGGAAACTTTGTGCAACGGGTGGTTTATGACTGCACAAATTCATGTCAAATGATGGGGCTGTTTTGGATAGTCCTCCTATATCTGAACTTGCATCTGATGCTAAAAATTTGGATTTTGCATTTGAGTTGCCATAGGAAAGAACTCTTGGA